GGATGCAGAGGATGTTCTGTGGAACTTACACAAGTATGTCCAGACTTTGTATGATCAGGGTGTATGCCGTCTTCAACCCAACTTGCATACAGTAGAGATGTAGTTTGGCATGCTGCATCACAAAAGTGCAAAAGGCCATGTGACCCAGTAGACAGAGACAAGATCTTACTGTTATTCAACAGCTCACTTTAGGCTGATTTATCAGACTAGACATAACCAGGAACGTCTTGAGGTAAGTACACTTTGGCTGTCCAGGAATTCAGTTTTTCTCCAATAAAATCCTGTATACTGTATTAGTATCAAACTTTTCTTAATTTAACCTACGATCAAGCGTCTGGAAGAGTTGAACCATTCTCATGGAATTTTGAACATCTTGCTAGGACATTCCTTTGACTAGCCAGTGGACCAGATATAGATAGACCACTATAATTTGTTGTCATAGGCATATGCTACCACTGCTAACAATGTCATAAATACCCTTGGTGCCACTGACAGACCAAAGGGAAGAATCCTGTATTGATAGTGATTTGGACTGACCACTAATCACAGGAATATCTTATGTGGAAATAAACATCCTTGAGGTCAAGAACAACAAACCTATCTCCCAGATACAGCAACTATATAGTAAAGGCCAGGGTAACCATCCTGAATCTCAAATGGCAAATGAAAGTGTTGAGCATTCTGAAATCCAGGATCAGCTTCTCATCTCCTTTTTTTCTTGGGTATAAAGAAATATATTGGGGATAAAAACCTTTCCCCTCCATATTGAGGAGGAAGAGGTTCTATTGTGCCCAGTTGAAGGAGAGAATCCATGTTCTGGATGAGAATCTTCTCATGAGAGAGATCCTTGAAAACGGACAAGGAAGGTGGGTGGGGATGGATACAGTGTGAAACTGAATCACATAGCCAGTTGTAATAATTGCTAATACCCATTTGTCTGATGAAATAGCATTCCATACTCTCTGAAAATGGGAAAGAAAATTTACGAAGGAAATCAGGGAAGAATGGGGGAGTAAAATCTGGAGGGATGGTCATTCTGAAGCTCTTGACAATCCCATAAAAAGGGATGCTTGCTGGTGACCACTGTGATGAGAAAGTAGAAGCATCAGGTGGTCTTCTCTTTTGCATCATTTGACATTTCCTAGGATGCTGTGCATAAAAAGAGGGTGGAGTTAACCTCGGTCTTGGGTAAGATTGAGGCTCACTGCGTATTCTTTTCATTGCAGGGCTGTAAATACTTAGGGAACATCAAGTGGCCTAGAAGTCTTTAAAAGTGTGGAGAGACTCTTCCATTCTCTCACTGAAAAGATTAAGGCCCTCATACGGAAGGTCCTCCACTTTGGCCTGGACTTCTCTTGGAATGCCTGAGGATTGGAGCCAGGACAAACAACTCATTACAGTGGAAGTTGCCACAGAGCATGAAGCTGTATCTGCAGGGTCTAATGATGCTTGTAATGAGGATCTTGCCATTAATGATCTTTACGCTGTTAGTAATTAAAATTGTTTCCTATGCTCCTGCAACAACTTGTCAATAAAATCCATGAATGTATTATAATTGAGATCGTCATCATTTGCCATATGAGCTTGGTTATTAGATATATGGAACTGCAAACTTGCAGAACCGTTTTTCCATCTCAAATAGGCCTAAACATTTTGAATCATCAGAGGGGGTTGAATAAACAGCACCATTCTAACACCCCTCTTTAACTGCGCTACTACAAGGTACAGGGTGTGAGTACAAGTACCTGGCTCCTTTAACAGAAACATTTTTTTTCAGTCTTTTTTGAAGTCCAAGCAACAGCTGCAGGAGTCTGTCACAGTTTTTGTCCAAAAGAGCCTCATTAATAGGAACAGCAATCCTCTCCGGCATAGTGTTGTGAAGGACATCCAATAATTTATGAGCCTCTTGAACCTCCTCTAAAGGGATCTGAAGTGAAGCTGCTACTTTTTTCATTACCCCTGAAAGTTTTTAAAGTCATCAGATCATGAAAGTGAAGCCAGTGTCACTGCCTCATCAGGAGAAGAGGAGAGAGGATATAACTATGCCTCCGTGGGTCACAAATGAGGATGCCTAATTCAGGATGAACTGCTGAGAAATAGGGCAGATACACCCCAAGACTGGTGGCTAATCCCCCATAGGACATACCAAACCAGCCACACAAGTAAACTTCTGTTTCACCACACTGGCTAACAAAAAGTCATAAAAGAAGTTTCCTTAGGCATTCCAGTCCTTGTATTACCACCAAAAACACCAGACTTAGAGATGAGTGGTTCCTTAAAACCAATCTCATCAAATAAAAGGTTCTTCTGATCCCAAAGGACCAACCACACATCCAGGTCAATATACAACTTAGATCTTACCCAAAAAAATCACACTGTTGCAAATCCTTTAGTATCTAAAATCTAAAGGTTTATTCATAAAAAAGAGAGAAAGGTGAGAGTTAAAATAGGTTAAAGGAATCAAATACATACAGTAATTGCAAATTGCAAATACATACAGGAATCAAATACATGGAGTAATTGGATCAGGCTTGTAGCAGTGATGGAATAAACTGGTGGCTTAAGTCAAGTCTCTGGCTGTTTCCAAATCATTGGAAGGTCCTCAGTCCATTGGTTAGAATGCTTCCATTAGTATAAGTTCATAGTACAGAGGCTTGAGCAGTAAAGAGGCTGGAGCAGGATAGAGGCAAAATGGATGGATTTCCAGGGCCTTTTATATTTTCTGCCATGTGGAGGGAAGCCTATTGTTTTAAACAAAAACCTCAGCACAGCTAGTAGAAAATTACAGGTGACAAGATAGTGTTTGGAGTCACATGGGCAAGTCACATGTCCATGCATGAAGGTTTAGACACAGTAGAAGCCATTACCTCAAACAGCATGTTTGCAGGACAGCTCATTCCATGTAGACGGGCGTCTCCCATAGTCCATTGTCAAGTCAAGTGTTTCTTGATGAGCCACTTAATTTGAATAGTCTCTCCAAGATGTGCTGGCTAACTACCTTGCAGGCGTTACCCCAGGAGCAAACATTTGAAATACAGGTATAGAGGCAATATTCATAACTTCAAGTACAAAACTACATGCATACATATAGCATAATCATATTCAGCAAATCATAACCTTTTCATAGACATCTTACATGCCACATTTTGTACAAGATATATAATAGAGGTTGCAACAATGATCTATATGGTCATACTTTAATCAGATAAAGTCACAGAGGACTATGAAAACTGAACTTTCTCAACAGGGTTGATCTTGCTCTTTTGAGGGCTCTTCCTTTTGTTAGATCTGCTCAGTAGACTCATAGGACCAGGCTGATGTCTCTCGCCTTTACTGTCTGGAAGGGTACCTGGGAAGGGTGCTTGTACAGGAACCCCAGTATGGCTCCTGAGGGACATTGTATGAGTGGCGAGAAGGCTCCCGGGCCATATGGGAACTCTATCTCTAAATGACAGAACAACCTAGACCTTCTACCTGAGCTTAAAGTTGGGGAATGAGCTCTAGGAGAGTATGTGGGTGAGTCACTCTTGCTATGCTGAGAGTCAAGTGATGGATATGATACATCAGACTCCAGAGAAGGATCAGCAGGGATAGGAGTGGTATGAGGCTGATCCTGTCTTACAGTCAGTACCAGAAAGGAAAACAGTACTAAGGAAGGCATTGATTCTAGTACCAGAGGGAAATTTAAGCCTCCAGATAATAAGGGGTATTCGGGTTCATTAGAAACCCTCAAATCAGTGTATCAAATCAGTACTGAAGGTTGGAGAGCATTATAACCATGGGGCATACTTGACACCATCAATGTAGTGCTCTGTACTAACCTGCCCTATACTGCAGAAACAGTCAGTGCCAATGATGGGTAAGCAATCAGTGCACACTGGGAGGGTGCCAAGGGGAGCTCCATACCAAAAGACTCAGTGCCAGGCACAATTACAGAGCCCTTTGACATCGAGCCAGTGCCCTGCTCCTTCAATGCAACATCTGAACCTGTACCAGGATGTGGAGTCTTGCTTGACTTAGAGGAGAAAGGCAATTTTGACCTATTTTTTTAAAGAGGATTTATGAGGAGATGTATCCCTCTTTTCATTGGGAGGATGCTTAAATTTTCCTTTAAACACTTTACAATGGCTCTTCTTACCAGATTCTTTCAATGAAGTCTTAATTGCATGCACCCTGGAGCTAACTAATTCAGGGCTCGAAGGGTCACTCTTTGGTTTTTCTGGATGTTGTACAAGCATCAAAGGGAACAGAAGCTGAAGCAGCCCTCACAGAACGATCCAAAAGGAAAATGTTTAGTCTCCCTAGAATTCCTTATTCTCCTGAAGAACAACCTACAAAATGCTCACTTTGAGGAGGATGTACAATTCCCCTAAAATTTAGAGGCAACCAGTGTGATCTCCATTAATTGGGAAAACTCACAAGCTATACAATATTTAAAACTGGGGGACTTATGCATAATCATATCTCAGACACTAATCAAATATACAAGGTTGTAGGCGGAATGCTGAGGAAAAATAAATTCCCCCTGAGTCTCGTAACTATTACCAATGGACAAGTACACTAAAAAACATAAATTACTAATTAATCTAAACTGTCCCATATACAAGAATGAGAAGCTAAAGTAAAGCTGCTGACACTAAAGCACTCCAGCTCAGGCCAAGGGTGAAAAGAAGGAACTGAATTAGCAGTTGGTCCCACACTACCTTTTCTCCCTTGGGTATGGGACACAGGGATAGTCAGAGAACATGCACAGACCAAACAAACACACACTGCTTACCAAAAAGCCTCTAACCTAAGCACATGCACCCCTAGAGTGGAATATACAAAGGGACAAGCGCTAAGAAAAGTTTATTCTTCCTTTGCTGCAAATCAAATATATTGCTAAACTTGTTTCTCAACAAGTCACTTTAACTTTACCATAGCATCAAGACATTTATTTACAATAGACTACATCAACCAATACAATTTCAAAATCTCTGAAAAGGAACCATTGTATTCACCTCCTTTTTCTTTTTGTCCACAATTCTTTGAGTGAGCCATTCTTTGGTTTCCTCTTTGGTGTCTTTTGCAAGCTCAATAATTACCAGAGGCCTGAAATGAGGTTCAAACGTGTCGAACGCAGACCAGCTTTCTTTCATCCTTTTACAACTTGCTAAATACAAAAGACAACAAACATGCCAATGTTAAAAATACTAGAGGATACACTCTGCAGAAAAAGAAACTTTGTAAAATAAGTTACCCTTTGTTTGTAGTTAGCATGTGAATGGAGGCATACTGTGGGTAGCGCGTTCAGTGCCTGCTGGAGGGAAGTGCTACGCAGCACTTGAATAAACTCCACTGGTTGTCACTCAACGTAATGTTGCCTGCCTTTGGTTGAGCTATATCCCATTCTCTTTATCTAGGATGACTGTTGCCACCATGTATAGCACATTGCTTCCTCACCACCACCACCAAAAAAAATATCAAAATAAATGGAAGAGAAAAATAAAGGAGGACACTGAGGCCATCTCCCTTTCCCCAACAGA